CCCCAAAACCCCAAAACCCCAAAACCCCAAAACCCCTAAAATTCATAAATATATTGAAAAAATATTATAAGCAGTTCCGTTTTATTTCAAAGATGAACAAGACTCCTGATACGACATTCAGTGGGGAGAAATCACCTGCTGAGCAAGCAATGTTCGGTGAAGATCCTAATATGAGCCATTATGAGATGCCAAATCTCTCAGCTTGACTCTATGATTATACCAATAAAGAGCAGGACATGATTTACCGTTGCTTTAGAACAGGGAACTTTGACTCTATTAGAACACTTCCTGATACTCTTAAGTCGCAGAAGTTGATAGAAAGAATTAAAGAGAAAATTACTGAAAATATTAAAGAAAGTTCTCATCCTCCTGAGAGAGATCATAAAGGAAGAATTATTAAACTTTCTGGAGGTGGTTTATTTCATGAGTTTGAATGGATGCCAGATTCCTTCCTAAACTTCCTTGAAAATGAGAGAAAAGAGAAAGCCGAAAGTGATGAAGTAGTCAAAAAGATCCATCCTAAACCTTTCATCGCTACACATGATCCAATTACTACAAAATATGAAAATCCTTTTAACTCAGGGAAAAAGGAGACAGTCTATCCTGTATTCAAAGAAGCTGATGATCCTTATGAGGCTTCTCAAGATGAATTCTATAAGGCTAAATGGATTAAAGAAAACAAGATTCTTCATGGAGAATTCAAGCCTTCATCCCAAGATAAAAGCCTTACACAAATAAACAGAAGCCAGCTACCAGACATTGTGATCTTTCTGAAAGAAATAATTCGAATCGACTGGGCAGAGATAAACTTTATCATTGGAACAAATCCTGAAGAATTCATAGAAATAAAGTTTGAGAAATAGCCCTGATGGTGAACTTGGACTGAAAAGCTACATGAATAATTTAATCCACAACCATGAAACTATTTCCAACTTTAATTTAAAGAAGGTGATGAAATATTGGGGTCATACAGATTCAAAGTACATCTACTTCATGCTCATGCCTCCATGGGTGAAGGGAAGAATTTATGAGCCCCTTGCAGGCCCTCTTGTAAAAGACAAGCATCACTCAAGGACAGATACAGATCTTTCTGAGACTGAAGAGAAGGAGAAAAAGGATGTAGAGAAAGGATACAAGCTATATTCCTCTGAGATTGAAATATAATTTCTTTATATACATTCAATAATGCAATGAGTATTTGGGGTTTTGGGGTTTTGGGGTTTTGGGGTTTTGGGGTTTTGGGG